CCTCATTGCTGTAAATAAGTTCCAGAGGGTTGCTGTTTAGCATGTCTACGATTTCCTTTCCAGCTATGTTTGTTTCCTTGTAGCCCCATCTGGTGGAATGAGCGTTGAAGTCGCCTAATACTATAATTTTGCGTAAGATGTTCAGAAAGCCAAAGTTGGGACAATTCTGGGGTGGATTATGAAGTGGTTTTGACATTTCCAAACATTTAATCTTATTATTTCACATATGTCTTGTGTCGAACCCATACTCTTGATTAGATCGTAGTGTGAGGTGAGGCCTTCTTTCACTCCAGTTAGAATTTAACTTGCAACTTGTCGGCATTTAGGTAGAAGGTACAGGGTGTAACCTGGGAATTGGTAGTACTTCAGTTTGTAATCCGAAATGTTTGCTTCCATAATTGTGAAAATGTCTACATCATAGGTTTGTAGGATTTTCTGGACTTGGATCTTTTTGTCTTATGACATCCCGCTGTGATTCGCCCTGACGAAGGCGATTTCTATTATAGCCTTGTTTCAAGCTTATCATAATAAATCGAAGTCAAATCAAATGTCGAGTGATAGACATTTTTACCGTACGAAGATACGTTGCCCAGGGCGCACCACGTGGAGGAAAGCCTATCGCGCACCCCATGCTCCATAAAGTAAATGCATCCACTATTCACCTTCATTGTCCTCAATACTTTGAACATAACGCAGCAAATGGTGAGAACATTCAGGTAGTAGTTTGCCAACCGAAAGAGTCCTTATATTTCTAAACATGTTTGTTTTTAATAATAAACACTGCACATTAAACTTAAATTAGAATTACTCTCGATGAAATCAAAATTGCATCATTTCTTGAATAAAAAGAACCACGCACGCTAATTTAGAAACCTAATGTTTGTAGGTACATTAACACATCAATGGCTCGAAATATTGCCCATAACTTTAGCATGGGACAACATAATTTGGTCTGCTAAATTATTGGTAGAGATGTAACTTTGGCGCTTTTATACGTAACACCGAAACATCGATTTCAAATAAACAGGTAATGAAAATATATGAGACCACTTAGTAAACATGGGTGCAGCTTTTATTAGGTTTCCCTCAAACTTGTTAAAGTCGCTCAGGGTTTGTGCTTCAAATACTCATTTGTTAATATTTGCCCACCAAGGCCAATTTGAGATACCTTTTATTCAAAATGCTAGAAGCCAAACGAAATGTGCAAAATTACCACCAGATTTGAAATTCCACAAAAACCTTTAAAATAATTTCACATATCCAATGCTGTAGACAAGGAAAATGAAATAAAGTGATTGTGTAAGAGTGGGAGATGAATGAAAGTGTTAAAGCTACATATTTAAGCATAGGCAACTGAAGGTCGTCTTCTTTGCTATAGACATAGTGAGCAGGACTGGAAATAGTCGCTATAATGTCATGGCAATCAAAGATATTCTTAGACAGAAAATTTTAATTTTGGTCTCGAATTTCTCTGATCTGACTAATTTCATTAATGATGTTTGCAATTTGCCAAGATAGAAATTGGTTTCTGCTACAACAAAGGAACTCCTCCATTCTTGCTTTAAATAATCTATTATCATAAATTTCACTCATTGACATGCCAAAAATTGAAATAAGTATTTTAAAACCAAAAATAGTTCCAAGGGAATTATTTGTAGCACTTTAGATCTGGGCCATGTGTTGCAAAATCTGCATCCAACAACTAACTCTATCCAGAGATCCATCTCAATTTGATTTAATTTTCGCAACCATAAACCTCTTTGTATCAGCATATTGTTAAGAATAATACGGAATTTATTATCTAAACGGATGATTCGGCAATAGCCAGGGATATTATCTAAATCTTGATGGGTCAAAACGTTCGAGTAAATTTGAAGTGATTTTGGCTCACTTATGCTGATCTCAAGAATCCGAGCTATCACAATTACAGATTACTCTTAATGGGAATGATTTTTCCCATTTGGGTTTGGGAAGGTCACGAAATTCATTTGAGACAGGGATTGGTATGTGCCACAACAAGTGTTTCCTTCTTGTGTTCCAATTTTGTTTTACTTTCTAGCAAACATGTTACCATGTCGAGAGCATTATGGCTGTGTTGGATATAGATGATGTTGGAAATTAATGAGGTTCTAAAACAGACCTTTACTCTATGTGGAGTAAGTGGTACACGAAAAGAACAATTCCACGTTTCATAGGTAGCTACTATCTGCGGACGGAGTACCTTCCGTGGAAGGCTAGTTTTGGCACCAACTGGCATTTTATTCCTCCAAGCCACCGGCTGCCTGTTGAGACCAGCCTATGTCCTCAATATGCAGAAGCACAATGATTTGTAGCATAAATGGCACCTAAGTAGAAAGATTTTGGTATACTCTCAATAGCTAATCTATTTGCTTTTTAAAAGAGCGCAATTATGACCTGAAAAGCTATTTGTAAATAAACGATAACATTATTTTGGTTTTTAACGTTCGCATTGTAAACATGTTTGTCCTTAGAAATTAGCCAATCGCTTTTGTTAAATACTCGGTTCCGATAAAGTTCAAATAAGTATAAATAGAGAAGCACTTGACTAAGCTCATAGCGAACACAATTTGAGACAATGCAATTCAGCCAACTTCAACTAGCTGCCGACAACAATCGGGATAACAATGAAAGTGCATCACAAAGTGAGCCCCTTGATTTATCAATGAACAATCTCAATCAGCAAAACATGCAACAGGAAGGAGCAATAGAGGTTAATCCAACTTCTACTTCAGAAAATGAACCAAGAGTTGGCTCAACGTTACCCACTCCATTCGGAAGTACCACTACCCCACTCTCCCCCATCAACTTGGAGGATTTGCTGAGTAATCAAGACTTAATCTATTTACTCCTGATTGTATCGAGAGGCAATATGAACAACAACAGCCCAGTGGATCAGATATTGCCCATTCGGATTCTCAATCAATTCGTGCAAATGAGCTTGCTCATGAGTACACAGAGAGACAATTGGCAGACAAATAATCCCGTGTCTCCCAATTTGAACAGAGCATCTAACTTGAACGCTCCTCCACCGACACAGCTTCTATCCCACCAAACACACTCATTGGAATATACAATGGGTGCCACAAACTTTGCGCAAGCCCCACCAGTGTCCAATGCAGACATAACGCAGGGTAAGTCTCCATTCGTTGAAAGCTATCTTAAGTTAATTCTTATTTTTGATCGCAAATGTTCCTCAACTTCATTTCAGGTCCAGAGGCAACTACTCGTGAAACCCAACGGTCTCGATCAGTGAGTTCGGTATTCACAAACGTAGAAATGCCAAACCAAGTCGTGATTACAAACCAGCAAACAACCCCACCTGTAAACAATTCATCACAGCCGCATTATGTCAGAAGACGACCACAACGACGAGCCAACCGACAGACACAGTATTCATGTAATATGTGTGCGGAATCATTTCGCAGAGTTAAGGATTTGACTGAGCACACCAAAGCTGTGCATGGCAAGTTCAAATGCCAAACGTGTGGTCAAAGGATTGCAAGTCGACCCAATCTATTGCGTCACGAAATAATGCACTCCGATCAACGTCCACATAAGTGTAGCATTTGCTCCAATGACTTCTATCGTCAAGATCATTTAAAGCGTCATATGGACAGCAAGCATCGAGGTTATAATGGAGATTTGAATATGGTTGGAGTTGGTGCAACAGAAGTGCACCCAAATACATTGGCACGGCAACAGTTATAGAAGAAAATTGGGAGTGGAATAAAATTCATAAACATGGGACTTTATTTCTTGAGGATTCAAATGAGCTGTAAACATCATCGATTTACTTCTGATACTGGATGTTGGAGACCTTCGTACTTCAGTAACCATCCCATTGCTGTTTCTTCCTTCTCCTTTCAACCTAAATCTTCCTTCGGCATGCAATTCTTAAGTAGTATGATTTACAGACATAGGATTCTGCAGGTCGTCCATTGGAAGTGAATAAGAAGCATACACAAATACCTCCTCTTCTTGGTCCTGCTCAATTTTATTTATCAGCTCGAACACGTTTCCAATAGCCCAGGTCCGAAACATGCCAAATTCCCTTTCAGCTCAAACTTCATCATTCTTTCATGAATCCTTTCACATATTTGCTGTATCAAATATACTTGTGGTCGAACTCAACTCACGGTCTTGGCATTTTCAATGTACTATTTCATTCTGCTGGTTCTTAGTGAATTTGACTACTTTGAAAGAAGCAGTCCCATATTTCAATTTTCTCCACTTTTGACGTCGATTTACCGATTAATGTCTAAGATGGCAGTGATTCAGTTAGTCTACTTCCTTGCCATTTCGGTTTCGCTCAACCGTTGTGATGCCTCATGTTTTAGATATTATTTTGGCTTTTAAATCAAACTGTAATAGTCGAAATGGTGTTTTGGTGGAGCAAGAGAATTATCAGATTTAAGAATAGAATGCGTGGAGAGCTTAGAAATTGGCGATTTCAAGAGTTTTATGTTTAGAACAATCAGACAGTTAGCATTCGGAAGTGGATTTTGCAACACACAGACACACACACATGTAAACATATACATATATATACATATATCAAATGGCAGGCGATTTGATGGTTATCATTAGCCCTTCAGCTGACTTTGGGGCTACACAGAGAGGGGAAAGAACATCAAAGGGACAAAAGTCGAGAGGGGTAACAGAAGAGTGATTCACAGATGTAAAAGAGAAATACAGACAGACACAAAGGTAAGATGATTACTGTGAAAGGGGTCGAATATGACAAATAGCCGGGCCATAGTAGTTTGAAATCAGAAGTCAGTTAATAGACTTTTTGCGGTATGGGTACACGTTGCCCAGGGTGCACCACGTGGAGGTAAGTCTATTGCGTACCCATATATATATATATATATATATATATATATATATATATATATATATATATATATATATATATTCATATATATATTCTTTGATCCCTTAAAAAAACTTAAAACAGTTTTCTTTGGTAGTCATACCAAAAGACTGTGGATTCGAATTAGATTGCGATTATTTGTGAGGGTCACAATATTTTCCACGAAATACGTCTGTATCCTCTAGAAATTTGTGGTGGTGCAGCTAATCTTGGGAACCGTTTCTAACAAGGCGAAATTACCACAGAGGTTACTGAACATAGTCAAGGCTTGACAGTGAAGCAATCAGCAACATGTTAAACAGATAGCTAGTGTGAATGTAGCTCCTCAGTCCTGTTCACGGTTTTCATCTTGGTAATGAGGATAAAAAATTATGTCAGATCAACAAACTAAGTGTCCGAATAACTTGACGTGAAATTTCTTTTTTCGATCTAAAAAAATCATTACTGTATTCAATACGAACTGGGTATATGTTGTGTTTGACTGCTATGACATTATTACGACTATTTAAAGTCCTGTTCACTATGCCAATTGCATACAAGGCGCTCTGCAGTTCCCCTTACTAAAACATGGAGCATTAGTGCTTTTCTTCCTCTTCCAATCTAATACAATCAATTTTCAATCATTTCTCGTGTCTACGACATTAGATAAGTGACATTAATTGAAGGTAATAGGAGGAATTTCAAATTCGGTAATGAAATGTTCATTTCATACGGTAACTAGCAATTTGAATAAACGATATCTCGATTTGGCATTGATGGGTAAATATCTACAATTGAGTATATGACACGATTTCCTGAGAAACCTTAACAACTTTGCATCAAAGCCAATAAAAATTGTACCCATGTTTCCTAAATGACCTCATATATCTTCATTACTCGACTAATTGAAATCGGTGTTTAATATTACCTTTTAAAGTGAACATTTTGCCTTAGTTACGCCTCAGGTCACGAGTTCATGCCTATATTCAATAAAATAGATTTCCTCATCGATTTACTAATGGCAATACAATGTTCAAGGCCTAGGGTTCCATAATTGAATCATGAAGTGTGATTATTTAATTAACTAACTGACATACTACTTTGGTAGACAGAGTTCCAAATTACTTACACCTTCGAAAATTAAATACTCACTCAGCTTCAACTTCGAAATACTGAACCAAGTGTTTGAAGGCCATTTTCTTATAAATTGGCTTTCATGACTTTTAATATGCTTATTAGTGGAGGTATACATATATGTGCTTTAAAAACCTCTTTAACAGAACAGAAATTTATCGGTAACAGAAATTATCCAAATTACGATTTGCACATTTTAAATAGTGCTCACTTTATCTACACACATTTTTGGAGCCTCACATTGCAGGAGAATGCTTAGTCGGAAAGTACGAACAACAAATCACAGGACAACTGATAAATGGATAGATAGTCAAAGTGATTGGTTACAGAATAGATTTTTAAGCAGGAAGCTTGAAGAGCAAACTTAGGGAAATTATAAGATACAGTTTTAATTTGTTTTGTACCTTTATTAATTAGTCTTGCCACCGTTGCTAATTAATTAGTACTTATTCGGGTGAAGTAGTTGACTTTAATGCAACCCCATAGTTGCCATGTTAAGCAAATTAAAATTTCGGAATACACTTTAGGTGGAAAAAGTACAACGAAGATTTAAGAAAGTTGGAAGCAAGAAAGTACTAAGCTCAAATTGTGTGCGTGCAGCCTGGTTCATTCGCCAACTGTGGATTCATGGATTGCTGATATTTCAGGTGGCATGACTAAAAATCTGTTCGATTGTGTCCTCATAATTGCCATGATTAATATATAAAAAACTGAGAATGCACCTGAATAAGGGTGAAATGTGTCATTGACTGAGTTCTCATAGTTGCTATGATAAATAAAACGGTAGGCATGCACTTGAATGAGGTCTCGCAAACCTTAAGCATATTGCATGAGAGACCTTAGCTAGAAGGTCTAAACCTGCAAAAAAATATTGTCCCCATGGGGGTTGTTGACCTTGGCACCACCAATAAGAATAGTAATAGAATAAAATGGAATGGTACAATATTGGTGCTGGAAGAAGACAGAACTTAGTTAGCAGACTCGTGAAGGCAATGGGAATCAACTGCAAGGTATTCGATATGAATTCCAGTTTTCGGGTTTCTCTTGGACTACCACTCATGATCTACACTTTTGCTTAAGTTGCATAGTTTACATGCCTACAGCTTAAACATTCGAAGCAAGTGGAGGTAAAGTTATAGCATCTCAACACAGATTTGAGTGTAAATTCCAACAACCCATTAAAATTGCACAATGTTGTATTACTAGAAGTAAATCAAATTGACAAAATGGTTCCTGAAATAAGCTTTTGCTTAGACTCATGATCAAATTTACGGAAAATTTTAGGCGAAAATGGGGTCAAGTGTTACACATAAGAACAAGGAAGTACATGGATGTATTCTTAACTGCAGAAGAGCTGATGCTTCGTATGTGGCGAGATCTGTAGACCAAGTTTCTTAAAGTCCATCACCACCTTCTCCATCTTTTCCACCAATTCATCAGCGCCCTTCTCCACATAATCAAGTGGCTGTTTCATCTCTATAAGTGGAACAGAATTTAAAGTTTGGATGCGATTCTACTTTGAGTATATATTTTAGAATGAAATTTTTCTAGAATGCTACCTTCAATCTCCGCCAAGGCGTTTTCCAACTTCTCAATGTAGGCATTCACCTGCTTTGCCAATTCACTAGGATCCTGAATGCCTGAAGAGTCCCCATTGTTACCACCATTCTTGTCCACCATCTTCTCCATCGCTTCTTTCAGGCCTTCCAGTTTTTCATCAAGTAGGCCAAAAGAAGTCTATAAGTAAATCAAAGATTCGTGATTGTGAAGGGTGACACAACCTACTGTATCGTTCAAATTACTTTTTACACGGCTTATCTACTTATTAAATATTGGTGCATTTCTAAAGGTCTATTTCGAAGTTCGCCGTCTCTTGTCGTCATATACATGCTAAACACTCACATTAAGCATCTGCAGATTTTGCAGAGAACTCTGACTCGTGTGACGAGCAATTTCAGTTTCTTCTCGAAGTCGTTGAGCATCCTGAGCATTCTGGGTGGCCTGGTCAGCCTGAGCACTGGCCTCTTGTGAGAGTCCAGGCCTATTCATCTCCAAACGATCCAGGGACTCCTTCACAGTCTCGGAATTCCCCCGATGAGCAGAATCCTCCAGAGAGTTGAAAGTCTCACTCTTCTCCATCTCATCATAGATTTTACTCACATTTGATAACTTGTTCATCTGTTCCAAGAAGCCCTCCGCTTTCTCCCTATACGTTGACAAAACTTAGAGTCACACCATGATGAAATTAACATAAATCAAGAAGCCTTCGATGATGACTACCTTATATTCTTGGCTCTCTCAAGGAGCAAATCCGCTTCTCGCTTTTGTCCAGATGTTTCAGTATTGAAGTGCTCAACTTTATCTCTCAACTGAGCTGACAGTTTTTCCAACGTGTTTCCCAATCTAAGAGCACCGTCGATATTAACCGCGTGATTTAAACCACGAATCTTTGACACCAACTAGAATAAGTGAGTAGAGCAAACATTAGTTTATGAATAACCATTCTCAAATGATTTCACTTCAATGTACTTCGTTGTAGTAATCCGCAGTTATATTTTCGTATTTCTTCACTGCTTCTTGACCTTCCTCGATAATGGCATTTGTAATATTTTGCACTCGGAAGACTCTTCCCCTTAGAGTTTCAAGTTCTTTGAAGAGGGAAGTCATTATTTCGTCAGCTTCCGTTCGCGTAGCATTCACCTATAATTTACATCATAATCATAACATTCGAAACTATCTAAGACAGTAGTGAACGCAAAAATTAGGACTTGCTGAGTCGATCAGATTTTCAACCTGAGCCGCATTCTGAAGTACATTTGCGAGGGCATTTTGTGCCGTCAAATGCTCAGCAAGCAATTCCTTAAGACGACCTTCTGAGCTCATTGAGCATCCAATAGTGCCAGCACAACTGGAAATCAGACCGAAGAAATTGGGTAAGTCATTGGGTGTGCTGGTTCCACGTTGCTCATCGAGGTCAAATATCTCTGCTGTGATGGGATCGCAACTTGCTCCACCACACGTTGAAGGACAAGTTCGTAGGTCGGCTCCGGATTCCGGCACGCGTTGATTATCTCCGCAGATCTTAATTCAACCAACGCAATTGCAAAAAATTAATGTGTTTCACCACAAAATATTTCACGATAAAATCATCTCCATTGTGAGTGGCTTAGAAATTTTAAAAGAGATGAACTGTTCAGTTATTTAGGAGACAAAGGCCTACTCACACTTGATATGAAAATAAAGTACTACTTCCACTTCTTCCGTCCACTTTACGGTTGTGCATCGTTCAGTCAATGCATGTACCATTCGAACCGTCGTTATTAAAAATGTACAAAATCTAACTGGGACAAGCACGATTAGAGAACAACTCCAGTTGCACTTAAATGAGTGCGTCTAAACAGACTTTTCAACAAGACTTATTTATGTTTTCGACACCGCACAAAATGATGAGCTAACTGTTTGCTTCTTTACTGTCTAAAATGTGAGTTTTGAACTGTTACGTTAATCAACACCACGCGCAATGATAACCTACAGGCGAACATACTACCAGGAAACTCTAAGGATCAGTTTAACTGCTAGTTCAAAGACTCCTCTCATTGACAAAGATTAATTCATACTTTGAAGGTGCGAATTTCTAAAAGTCAATTGTCAATCTGTGGATAAATATCACAGTATTCGGCTAAATTATACTGTTCTTTGACTTGTTCCCTGTTTTTATTCCGTTTACACAAATAAATCTTTGATGCTTAATGTCATACGTATTTTAACTTGGTAGAGAAGTTAACTTGAGTTTGTATGCACAAAAGTGCTATAATAACACGTCGATATCGACGTTACACGAGGAATTAGGAAGAAATTACGGCACAAAGGGGGATTGATTGTGATATCTTGCAACAGAACACACCATTCTATTGAGCTGTCGAATTTCATCTTGAAGGTCTTTAATACGTTCGCTCAGGAATTTAATTAGACGTTTGAATTCTTCATCTGCCTCACTCCTACTGGCAACAGATGTTGACGTCGATTGTAGTAGTGCTTCCAGAGTCGCCTTACGGCTCTCCAAGCTCTTTTGAAGAGCTTCTATCTTCTGAGCATCTCTTTGGGCCATCAATAGAGCATCGTAAGCACCTGAAAGGAAATAATTATAAGGTGTATGAACCGGGCTAAAAGTTCTCGATCATGAGGATAGCATGGACTACAAACCGAAAGGATCTTGGATAGAAATATTCCTGCTGCTTTCCACCATCTTCTCCAACTCATCCGAGATCTGTTTGAGGTATTTCTCGTTGTCTCCAACTGTCTGATTTAACTTATTTTGTTGCTCTTGAAGTTTGTTCAGAGCTTCCTCGACTTCCGGAAGTTTACCAGTATTTCCATCTGGGGACTCAAGTCCACTAACTTGCTCCCTTGAAGAAAAGAGACAGAAGTGATCATTGCCTTATGCATCATTAGACCTTTTACCGCAAAAAAGAAAATTACTCAATAAACAAGAGAACCTCCTCGAACTTCTTCAGTTGGTAGTCAGTCAGGTTTGAGGCTGGAATTAGCTCAAGTTGTTCAACTAGGCCTTGGAGTATATCAAACACTGGTTTGAGGTCAGCTGGTAGTTGACTAGACGTCTGATTTTTAAGGCGACCCATTTCATCTAATTAACACAATAAACATCAATGGTAGAAAAATTAGATTTTATAGCTTTATTTCCCAAAGCAATTCATTTACCTACAACAGCCGTGATAGCCTTATCCCAATTTGTCCAACATTCCCCACAAGGTTCACAGTGAGGGAGAGTGCCCTTTGTTCCACGATCACAACGGTCGCATCGTCTACCGGCTATGCCTGGACGACAGACACATTGTCCGGTAATGGGATCGCAAGTGTCACTCAAAGAACCTGCCCGGTCACAGTCACAACCTGTTAACATGTATAGATAAGATTATAAGTGTTGGCCTTTCAATTTAGATATAATTGAGAAGACACAATCATAAAGTCCCAATAGTCAATTAACTGCGTTACTATGGGATACGACGAGATTATAAAGATCGTGGTAAATTTCTGCCTAATATCAAGTGTGCAAGCATAGATGTAGGGTGCGTAAAGATCTCCATTCAAAAAATATCATGCAGGGCTGAAAAAGTTGGTGAAAAAGTGTGAAAAATTCCAATTATGTAAATAATTCCGATTCACACTGGACAAAGTACTCAGCTTTTAAAAATTCTATAAGTATATCTTGATCGCTAACTGCGAAGTCTCGTGAGAGGTTTAGATAAAATCAATATAAAAGTAATAGCTGAAAAATCTCCTAAGGAGTTCTAATGGGATAGGGCAAGAATAGATTACACTGCAAGGAATGGATTATCTTAAAACCAAAATAATTTTTCACCATGTAAAAATTCAATTATTTAAATTTTGATTTTACACTCCATACTTACGCTTGCAGCCATCTGGAGTGCGTGGATCACCATAGAACGTTCTCTGGCACTGATCGCATTTTCTTCCACTGCGATCTGGTCGGCAAGTACACTGACCAGTTAACTAAAATCGAGAGAGAGCGCAAAGTTTGATCTACTTATTTCAAACAAGTAGGTTTCAATAAGTAATGCAGCTCACTGGATGGCAGTTAAGATGAATCGAGCCGGTGGGATCGCAATTGCAAGACTCACAACCCTTACCAGAAGTGAGATTAAAGTGTTGCGGAGCACATTCAAAGCACCTTGGACCCAGAACGTTAGGCAGACAGTTACAAGCTCCAGTCTCCCGATCACACACTGCACTGCCTCCACCAGCTGTGCCCAGCTGGTAGCAGCTACATGGCTGACAAGTCTGTTGACTTGCATTACCCCAGAAACCGGCAATACACTAAAGAGTGATTATTGAATGGGAAGCAAACATAGTAGTTTGGTATTCTGTATGTATTCGTCAACGTACCCTATCACATTTTTCACCTTCCGTGTTGTACAAGCAAACCTGACAAGCACCAGTGACTTGATCACAACCACCTTCTGGAGGCAGATTACCAGAACAATCACAAGGTTGACACGAACCCCCATATTCCGTTGGATTACCGTAGTAATTTGGTGCGCATTCAGAGCATCTTGGTCCTTCAAATCAATATGGTAATTAGAAATGCATCATCTGAGTGTTCACCATCACTACGATACTTTCATACTAAGATATTGCTACGATGCGGTCACTCAAATTACATTCTCCTACTGATAGTCTGATTCACTTGACTAGTGTATATAAAAAATAATTCTAATCACTTTTACCTTCTTTGTAAGGTACCTACGCCCATTTGTTCAATTGTCAAAGGCCAGATCTTGAATATATAAATATTCTCCGACTACCTGAATCTATATTTCTTAGTAAACTCTTTATTCCGTTATATATATATATATATATATATATATATATATATATATAACGGAATATTATATATATATATATATATATATATATATATATATATAAAAATTAATTAATCCAAATGATACTAAGCCAATGCTGCAATGCAGTGGTGTTTTTTCAAATCGATATTTGATACGGATAAACGTAAAGGAAGACTGCATCTTTCTTTTTGCAATAAGTTATGAATTCTTACCGGTATAACCCATTTGGCAATGGCATTGCATGCCAGCTACCGGGTGTACAGTACAACCCTCAGAATGATCCACGCCGCCACCAGGGCATTCACAAGGTCGGCAAGGAACTCCTCTGAATGGATCACCATAGAAGCCCTGTGCACAGTTTTCACACCTGGCTCCACCAGTATTATCCCGGCAGTCGATACAAGCTCCGGTGACCTAGAACAAACATCAACTTGTATAGTCAGGAAAAGGGAACATAGAAACTGCTATATGAGTTCCTCGTTAAGATTTACTTGATCACACTCGTCCGCTTTACCGTTACATTCACATCTCTGGCAATAAGGGAAGTTCCAGTACCCGCTTCCACAAATATCGCACTTTCTGCCTTCAATTCCTTGTCTGCAGGGGCATTGACTTGTGAGTGGGTCACATTGAAGTCCTGTTGAACCCTTCGGGTGGCAGTTACAAGCTGGAAAATGATAAAGAAACAGTTTTCAATGAGTCATTTTGAATAGAAATAAAAACGACATTGACAACTAAGATCATCCCTAAACCAAGTTATTCACATTTTCTGTTCTGTTCTACTACAGCTCAATTGGAGCCAGCAGTCACGGGTATCTAATTTCAACCTGAATTCCATTTTTTTGATCGCTGGAATTAATTAATTATTCCATTTCATGTTAAGTAAAGATCTGTCGTAGTAAGTGGAAATTAGGAATGGCTATCTGCTATGCTTACTGGTAGCTTTTCATCTTAAGTCACTTATTGGTTTATTCCTCTTCCTGACTACCACATGTCAAGTCTCACTCCACTCCCCGCATGATTAGTTTTCCTGCCAATAAGCAGATCAACATTTGAACCCAACTATCGTGTACTGTAATTCCTCCAGTTTCTAAACACTTTGTACACATCGTTTCCATGAGCATGACTTCTTCAGTCTCTTTCAAGGCAAATATTTAACCAACTGTCTTCTCATCTTCTTAAGAGTTATTCATCAAGTTTTACGCTGATAACTCAGGAATGGGGTTCATGTGATCATGGTTCATCATGAAGAAACATTCATTCCTCAAAGTTCTTACCTGTGCACCCAGAGGAGCTAAAGTGATAATGATAGGCTTCACATTGGTCACACTTTCTACCAACGACACCTGGTCGACAAGGACACTGTCCATTGAGCTTGTCACAAATAGGGGTCACTGAACCAGTCACATTGCACTCACAAGCTAAAAGCAAAATTTTATAATTATCAGAAAAGATCCTTCCAATATAACATCATGTTGATCGAATCAGAACGAGACTTACGAACGGAAATAGCGGAATCATCTTTCCACTGAGACTCCTGTATGTTGAAGTAGGTTTGACAACGTTGGGGTAGTCTGTTGGGTTCAATTTCCCCATCGAGAATTCTCTCGTATATTTCCCTATAGGATTCGCAATACTCCGCAATTGCACTCGCCTCACCGTCATCTTGTTTCACGATTATCTGTGAGGAAAAACTTTCATAAATCCATCAAGTTTAATCATCATGCTCCTAATCTACTTAAGTACTTTAGTAGCCCATTACTCCAAAAAGATGCCAACTCACATTTCCAATTGTGATTTCACTGTATGGTGAACCATATCTGGAAGTTGGCATAATAGCGATGAACGTCTTTCGATCACCAGTCAAACAAACATTGGGAATAACGATTTTCCTTGTTTCTGAAAAAACGAACTGTAGTCAAACACATGTGGCAAGACAATTTGCATGATGCTTCAATTAATTACCTGCGGTAATTTCCAGATGAGTTGGAGAATTTCTGCAGCTGGAATCATCTTGTCGAATATCTACTGTAATTGACCATCTGTCAAATCTACTAAACTATGGAGGAAAGGAAAGATAACTAACTGAAGTTCAAGAATACATGCTGTTCATCGAAATACCAAACTTACGTGTTTTGGATCAGTTGCAATGACTACTATATAGTTCCCAGTATTTTTAGGTACCTCAATTGGAATATCAATTGTTGTACCAGGTTGATTAACGACAATTTGTGGACGGCGAATGTAATAGCCATCATCAACCTGACTACAATCTCGACCGCTGAAATTGGCCTTGCATTTGCAAATACCTCTTTCGATATCACATTCAGGTCCCAGGGAGCCAACTGGATTGCAGGCACATGGTTGACAGCCCATTGAGGATGACGTCAGATTGAAGTAGCCAGGCTGGAAAAAATATCTTGAGGTTAATATAAATAAATAAATAAAATAAATGAATAAATAAAATAAAATTTCGACTGGCATTATTGATACCGGGATTTTCCGAAAGTCCACCCACCCGATGGACGGTTACTTGGGGGTTTAAAGTTAAAGTACGATTTTTGAGATTTACTCTATTTGAGACTGAAGCTGAATTCCCCAAGGGGGATGGGTCATGCCGAACGTACAATACCCGCGCTAAACAGATGAAGTATATTTATTTTCTTCTTACGTAAAATATTTTGCTTCTGTTTATTCGAGTGGGCGGTTATTCGGTTCCAAAGAAAATAGTTCCATGAAATGGAACAAACTGTTTAATCGCCCATGGCGAATTTTCAGAAAACTCCAGGTAATTACGTACCCACAGTAAATCAATAAGAGGGAAAAACATCATTCGCGTTGTAAGGCTTACTACTGCTCATAAAGCTTCGACCAAGTTATGCAAACCTCATCGACCATGTTGAAGAGTTTTTATTTCATATGACTGACTGCGAAATGCCCACTCGCACTGCCTCAATTACTTGCCAGGGTGGTGCGAACTGAATACCCCCCCCCCCCCCCAACCTACCTCTTATCAGATTATTAATTTACGAATTGGAACAGAAGGGTTGTCTGTTCATGTTCGTGTCACTGGAACGGTTTGGGCAAAAATACGTTTCGTTTTAAACACTGCAGCTACCAGGTAAATTAAGAAGAGTTGCATCTTAAACCCTGCAGAAAGTTCATTTCTATTCCAGATTTATTTACGTGAAAGCTGAGGGGAATACCAACACTGATTCTCATTCACAAGGAATTCGATTCGATTCCACTTTTATTGTAAAGTATTTCTGAAGCAGGACAAGCTTGGAGAATGGGTGATTTCACAGCTCCAATTAATGTCTGGAGGGTGCTCAATTTTCCAATCAGAGATAGGGTTTTGTAGCTAGCTAACATAGTTAAATTTTAATCTTACTTACCAAGAGTACATTCATTTCTAATCCCGAGGTGAAATATTTATAACAATTTTCGTTTGCACTACTGGTGATAATATGGAGAATCACTGCCCTTATATGGTTACATATAGCCTCAAACTCCAACTAGACTTTTATTTGATAAGGCAAGAAAATAACCTTTAAGTCAATTATGTTAACGCTTTGCACTGATCGAATTAAAATATCAACATTCGTATCAATATGACGAAACATTGACCTACCATGCAACGATCACAATTTTCACCTTCAACGAAGCGTTTACAGGTGCAAGCGCCAGTGATTTGATCGCATCCCATATTCTCCAGGGTTCCCAACATGTGGCATTTGCATTCTTAAAAAAATACAGAAAGAGTTGCTTAAAGGCTATTTATTCACGGATAAAAGATGGAAGGTTAATGAAAGATCAAAGGCTTACCTTCACATCCATCAGGATTTTCTGCACGGAAGTTCCAGTAGCCAACCTTACAGCGATCACATTTATCTCCACCAACATTTTTCTTACACACACAGCGACCAGCAATTTTGCCCTCAACAGGATTCGTATATTGATCACAGCTCTCATGAGTCTCCGAGCCACCGGCATGACAATTGCAAGCTAAATAATACTTATTATATATTTCAATTCAGGGCAAATATCATATATTAATAGGAAAAAATATTAGTTACGTTGACAAGTTTGTGGATGGTTAATTGGATAGTCAGGGTGACGATAATAGCCAACACTGCAGAACTCGCATTGAGGTCCTTCAGTATTATGATGGCACTGGTAACAGTGGCCGCCAGATACATTACCAGATTGTAGATAGAGAATAGGATTAAAGTAGCACTGATCTGAGTGATCATGACATTCACATCCTAAAGTTCACAAGTTTCATTTTAAGGATCCTTGCTACTTATGAATATTTAAGTAGAAATGTGGAACTCACGTTCGCAAGCATTGGCTGAGTGTCTGGATGCAGGTCGCCATGGTTTATTCTGATAGAAGCTAGCACATCTCTCACAATTGTCCCCAGCTGTGTTGTGTGTACATTCACACACGCCGTAAACCTAAACAGGTATACCCAGAAAGAGTGAATGAAAATTCATTGGATCAACTTTTCACATTTGTCATTGTTGGCACATTGTTTGCATAAGATTCTAGGAACTATGTGTTTAGCATTTGGAAGGAGAAATCGCTTACAAAAAAAGTGAGTAGGTTGGTTTTGAGGACTTTAAGCATAATTCCTTTATATTCCTCTGGAATTATAATTTTCTCACAGACGCGGTAGTGATTTAGGACATCTAATTAATTATACTACAGTGATAGAACCTACCATAACCATTGACTCAAGTAATGACATAATTGGAATGAAATAATTATTATAATATCTCTGTTGAGAGATGGCCTCTTCATAAGAGTAACTAACAATAGGTAAATGAATGAAAAGTCATATGAGGAAACCAAAAAATAATCCATTTAAATTGACAAATAAATACTAGTTTGTTAAATTAAATAAGGCCTATTTAAGTAAATCTGCTGTTTATTCCGATTTGCAACTAACCCAGTTGAACTGATGAATACAGAACAGACGTAGGTAGAGCTCCCTGTAAGGGTGGAGATTATAGCCCATCAATCTGCAGGCAATAATCAATGTGTTGCCGTTCAATCGCTTCTATTCCCAATACTTATATGTAAATAATGTCTCGTAAAAAAGACACATTAATCATATTCCCTGTTCCAGTTACCTTCATTATGATTTGTGATCCAATCTCGTCGTTCTTCACACTTCCCCATGCCTGAACCGATCAATGGGACCAATGCCAACCCTAGAGCTTGTGACGAAACGTAGAGGCTATGATGATTTCATCCAGTGGATTATATAAATACTATTTCTTGAATAGAATGTGGAAATTATTGTTACAAGTCCGATCATTTTTTTCTCCTTTTCACCATAAGCTTCGCAATATGTTCGATTTGGACCATATTATTATCAACTGGTTTTCTGGTCACAAAACGTACGACTTTCCTCCTAAAAATACAGCTTTGGTACTTCTATGTGCTTGTATATTCAGTTAAGAAAAAATTAAAAAGAGCGAGGGTGTGTTTATGCACGATGCGATCAAATGTAAAAAGGTGTTGAGTGAAAATTGAACTAGTATTCGGAAACTCACCTTTTCCAAATTAGGAATTTCGCTGGCCGATTTGGGTTTGCAGCGAGTAGCATGACCAAAGCACGAGCATCGACCCCAGACATTCCATTCGTACATGGCGTAGTAGTACTTCCGGCGGATGGCCGATGAATTGTCCAAGTTCATGTCACCTAATCAGTTAAAAAAATTTCATTGGAAAAAAACTCCCAAAATTATTATCGCTAAAACGAATCCGAGAACAATATTGAGCTGTAATGTAAATAAAATCAATTTTGAGTAGTTACCATGCTTTATTCTCCGAATTGCAAAGTTAATTTCTAACCAGTAAGTGGGAACAATACAGAGTGACCAAGAACATCGCACTCTCAAGAAGATGAGTATTCAGGTGATGGTAGTGTAAGAGTAAGCGTCCACATATGCTAATTAACTTGGGGCAACAACAGTAAAGAAATTTCGCAATTCTAAAGCCATATATCAGTGCCACCATATGCATTCGCCTATCATTCTTAACAATGTTGAGAGGAAGTCTAGACAGTTAGGAAGAGAGCTATCATCGACCAGATTACAATTTGATGATCAACAGAAGTTGAGGTGAAATGATTTTTAACACATTTCTGTCTATACTTCAAGTTATTTTACAAATGAAAAGTTATATGCGAAAGAGCTTAAAAATAAATGCGCGCGTTTTAAACTTAATGAAGTATGTTTAATCATTTTGGCATTAGGTGCAATTATACTTAAGGTGTTCATACTTGTAACGCGAGAACCGAAATCTCAGTGTAAATCTAAATGATTTCGAAAGGAGATTGTCTAATTAATTCCATATTCACGAAATCTTTGATGACCTTATGGATTGGTTAACGCGAAAAAACAATTGAATATGATAAACACATATTTATTTATTATTTACCATTTTTTCAATCTAACTTCAATATTTAATGGAGATTTATATCTTGGAATTTGACGCTTTTAGAAAATAAAATTTCAGGTTTGGTAAAATTTTATGTACAAGGAATTTCCGATTTCACTAACAGTGTGGAATTTACTTGCAAGGAGCCATCAGTGCTAGTAATCACAGCACTCGATAAAACGTGAGACAGTGGAGGTTCACACATGAATGCTTAGTTTACTTAACCAGGTTGAAGCTGTCTACACGTTCACGTGGCGTTCAATCAAATTCACTTTTGAAGCCTTTACAGGAAATGCGACGAATTACGTTTATTAAAGCTGGGGGAGGGGGGGGGGCATGAAGGATAACGAAAACTTGTAGATTTTCTTATGCAATTACAGTTTTAGTAAGGCAAATGAGGCCGTTTCTTGAATAAAAGTGGGCTGATTTCGATCGTAGTTATATCCACCTATCGGGGTGCGAGATAGACTTACCTTCTCGTGGTGCACCCTGGGCAACGTATAGTCATACGGCAAAAAAGTCTTTTAACCGGCAGTTGACTTCTCACTTCAAACTACCATCACCCCCACTGTATGTCATATTCGACCGCTTCTAGAGTACTCATCTTACCCTTTCTGAGCCTTTGTGTTTTTCTGTTTCTTTTACATCTGTAAATCACTCTTCTGTTCCCCCTCCTGAATTCTTCTCCCCTAAGTGAGACCCGAAGTCAACTAAAGGGGTTATGATAATATCAATACGCCTGCCATTTGTTATAAATATCCAACTATCTGCAAAATGCTTCGATAGATTCTGTTACCCTCTGGGTGGTCTCCGTTGTATTAATATGCCGTTGTGTACCGATTTAAATACCCGGACAGTTAAATTTTGTCAAATCCCCCACTTAATCGGAATGGCTCTTGGTTGTTTTCCATTACAAATACTGTTTTTTAATGAGCTGGAGAACTTGAACCTCCGTTCTGCGTTCTTCTCTCTCCCTCCCCCGCCCTGCGTGCCTTAGTGAATTAAGTCCAAGCCATATCTTATGGGAGGATATAGCCGTAGCAACAGAACAAGGTCTCCTGGCGGTACTGTAGCATAGAAGAGTTGTACTTTGCTTACTAATACAGCTGAGTATTTGAAAAAAAGACACAAAACTCAAGTAATAATGATAGATTTCTGCAAAAAACTTGTACTTTTCAACGAAGAATGTAAAATAGACATAGCAAACAACGTAGAATTTGTAGCTTAAAATTAGACTTCGAAACCCGGACACCCTTCTTGTACTTCAACAAGTGACACCGTCAAATTGAATGGAACTGGTGGGATATGACTACTTCTGAATAGAAGATAGCAAAGCTTGGTGTCTTGAGGATATAACTGATCCCAGCGACTTCAAGTATCTAATTTCTAGATGGTAACAGGAAGAACAGTGTCCTTAATCTACAATCTTAATCCCTAATCCAATTTTTTAAAAAAATAAATGTCCCTCTTCTTAAATAAAATGACGTTAATCTAAACGCGCTCGTTGCCAGAAGTTTAATAGATGCCAATTTGGCCAACTCAATAAACCAAGTTCACTTTTCCTGTTAAAAGCTCAAGTTATTTAATGTATTCTCCCATTACCAAAAACATTAATTCCGCATTTGAGTAATATAAATCCATATTCCTGATTTATTAAAATAAGAAAAAAAGGAGAAAGTAAAGTCACTTTATACCTAGTAAAACAGTTCACACAAACGGAGAGCGGTTGTGAAATTGTTTACGTCTTTGTCCCGTAAGAGAGCGTGAAAAAGAGGTGCCTCACACTCGCTGCCAAGTTTGTATTGCGCACACGGACACACACACACAGGCACACAGGCGCACACGCACATGTCCAAGTGACCAGAGTATTGTTTACGCTATGCCATCCGTTCACATCAAGGTGGGGGTAACCTCCTGACACAAACGCAAACTGAACTCACAGACTGTTGTCCCACAGGGGGCCATGACATGTATCCGACGAATTCTCTTTTATAATCATTTTAATAATGGATCAAGTTAATACTAAACTACTTTCACCAATTTCATTCAAGGTTGGATGCTCAAATATGCATTGACTATTTTTATAATACAAGGCATATTTATTTCACTATTCTTATTAATTAGTTACAATGTGTCATTAATTGTGGAACCTTAGACTTCAACCGACACTCTATTTATTTTAAATTTACTATGAGTTCGTTTTTTATGTTCCATCAAAAAATTGTTTTAGTGATAAAGCTCGACAGAAGTAAATTTTTTTCTGATCAATTAAAACTGGGCAACAAGAAAGTTAAATTGTCCGGTAGCTCACGGAACATTAGTGGAATTATCAGTAAGTAACTAATGAATCCTAGAGACAACATTTGGACTTGTCATTTATTGGACTTGATTCGCAGAATAAAATTTGCTTAATAAATAAATAAAATAATTAAGGTATATTAAAATGGTGAACTTTTAGATTATTGAACAGGCTTACCTAAAGTATTAAGACGTGTGAAAGTGACTCGAAGATTTGTAATAGCCGTCAAATTTTGTCTTTCTTCACTGTATGGTGGAAGATTTGCGTGCATTTCACTAGGAGCTGCCATGAAAGCAACCTGAAATTTTAATTAAATAAAATAAATTCAATAAGATATAATAAGTTGCTTTAGTCAATAAGAGCTCCACTTGCAATATTTAGCATAGATCTCGCTTATCTTCATGCATCAATAACTCTAGCAATGACATTAATGGAGTATTATATTATTATTATTATTATATCGTCACTCAAATTCAAATACTCTTGATATAGTAATAAAACCCTGTTTGAAAGAAGGGGAAAAATATTATGCTATATTGCGAATTGAAATAAAACATTTCCATATTTAGAATATTAAAGTTGTAAACTTACAACTCCACCTTCGGAAGGCGTCAATTGACTATAGATGCTAGTACAAGTAACATCACTTAAAGCCCGTCTAGGCCTTTCAGGAATAGCCGGGAAATCACGAGGACAATTGTTGGAAAAGTAGGCGTAGGGTTGCCAGGTCTGGGCAAAGTCAACAGATCGTTCCAAGTACATAGCAGCAGGACGGAAAGTCTTAAAACGCAGAATCGTAGAAATAAACTGAAATTGGGTTTCAAGATTGAGAGTCAAGGTAACATTACGAAGAGCATTCTCAGATTGCCACCTGAAGTATAAAAAATATTTTTCGGTTGAAAATTTCAATAAACTGGTATACGTCAAGCTAAACTTACCATCTACCGGGATCACTAGGGACACGAGAAATGACATTTTCAATTCGATGACTGTTTGGATTAGTAATAGAATTATATGCCTGTTTAGAGTAGCATTCACTGCAGTGACTTTTACCGCTTGCAGTGACAACGCAATAAGTATCAACATTTTCCAAACCGCAGGTAGATGAAGCTACAAGTGCGTTGTCTCTACCGATCAAAAGATCACCGGCACGGGGACTGCAAATGGTATTCTGACAGGAGTAATCGTCATCATATGAGTAGGAAGAGGATACAGTGAAAAGTATTAAAATTAATAATTTCAAAATGTATCTCATTGTAAACCGACCGATTTCGATCATTAGTGGCAATCGCTTTGGTACAATTTACTTAACTTTATTACAATAATTAATTAAAACACACCTAGGTCGTTTAAGGTTTTCTCTTTCTTCAACATTTTATTAACGTTAATTAAAACTAAAATACTTAATTCATTATTTTAAACTATTTTAATACAATTCTTTTCTATAATTAGAATATAATAAGAGAAAAGGAATATAGAATATCAAATGTAAATAGATCTATAAATTAGCACGAGCTCTTTTGAAGAAATGAATAAGTACTTGAATATCCTAGTGTAAGTTTTATGAAATAAATAAATAACTGTCACTTATTTTAGTCAGATTCTCTCACTATATACATTATTTATTTATTTCAAATGGCAGGCGTTATGATAGGTATCATTAGCCCTTTAGTTGACTTCAGGCTT